TTATTTTATTAATTTGTTTTTGCATTATTGGGAATTGAATCCAGTTTCTTCATACTGAGCAACATCCTCAAGTCCTTTTTTTTTTAATGTCTATTTTTTAAATTTAGAGATAGGGTCTTGCTAAGTTGCTGAGTTGCTTAGCCTGGACTTAAACTTGCAATCCTCCTGTCTCAGCCCCTCAAAGGGTTCAGATTGCAGTTGTGTGCTACCATACCCAGCTCCTATGGTTTTTTTTTTTTCCAATTTATATTTAGTTGATCTCCTGCAAAAATATGAAGACATCCACTGTCCTTAATCCTGAGTCTTTGAGGAAATGTAGGTAAAATTACAGCAGTCACCTTTGCCCCACTACAAGCCAACAGCACTTGAAGTAAAATGCTGAGAGTCAAGAACCAAGACATTCATACTATCTGCATAAGGGTAGATATACTCAATTCTCATGTAAAAAGTGAAAACTCAAAAATCTCTCCAGGCATAATGGGAGTAGAGTGGTTTTGGAGATGGTAATTTCTGTTAACAATATATCCTTGGAAGATAAGAATTACTCATCATTTCTCTGCAGTTACAAGTCACAACAGAACTAAATTTACAGAGATTGTATTTTAGAAATATATTATCAAGCAAAAAGAGCAAGTAGTTGAATAATCTTATGTGTGATTCATAAGAAAAACCATTGAAATGGAAGAAGAAAAAAATTGAAAACTGAACTAACCTCAAAAAAGAATCTAATTTCCATTTAATGACTTTAACCAGGTGTTCCTAAGCCCTCTTTGTCTTACCCTGGCTACTAGTTTTCTTTAAGGAAGACTTCTGGAATAACTTAAATAGTGGATACAGAATGGCTTTAGTAGTTGGGACTGAATGCAGTTTATTTTTTTTCATGAAAAAAAAACTACTTCGGAGAACATACTCCAAAGGACTGTGCCTCCAAAGACAACCTTGAGCCATACAAGAGGTGTGTGTGAATACTTGCAATCTGATGACTGAATTATGAATGCTCCTTGGGAAAGCCAAGAGGCAACTCATGTGTAATAAACACTGTCACTGCCCAGACCCTCACCCCCACAGCACTGCAAAATATATACTGGCTAGAGTCTCATCTGCCGGTAGTTGATTTCTTCTTTTGAGGATTTCTCTGGCCTCTAGAGCTTTCGCTGTCCTTTACAAAAGGCCAGAAATAGCAGGGAATTTACACTTCCTGGGGAAAGGCCTCAATGACTGATGGAAATTGGAGGATAATGGCCTCAGCTCTCTTGCTTTTGGAGTGGGATAACTCTGAGGCATCTATCCTATACTGGCTCTCAGACTTCCCCAGTGGGACCAAGCTCCAGTGGGATCAGCTTCCACAATGGAAATTTTCTTGATAATGAAATCTTTATTGAATAATCACTTCACCCCCTACCAGGGTCTCCTGGAATCACTTCCCAAACTCCTGCACTCAAATTGTTGGGCTAACTCTGTGCCCTATAGTAAAACTATAAGAATCAGTAACTGGACTTAAACTGATTAAAAAGAGTATATTTTTAAAAGCACCAACAGTTATAATGGAAGATAGTGTGTAACCCCATTAAATCTACATTCCTTACTTAGGGCAAGCAAATGTCAGTACATATTAACAAAGTCTCTTCCCTACTGATATATTTTAAATTCACCTGTAGTCATTCTTTGGCTAGCTGCATTTTCCCCAGCATTCTATGCAAACAGTGGGTAGATTTCAGTGATGAAAATGAATTTTCAGCTCTTCTAGAATGGGACAAATACTTAATTTAAAAAGCCAACCTAGAAACATTTTTTCATTTAATTATATCCAGTATTTTGTGGAATAAATTATTACTGTGATCACTTTTTGTTTCAACAGAGAATACAGCAGCTGCTGCATGCAAAAGATAGGCAACACATGAGGTATGATCAGAAAATATGGTGAACATTTAATTTATTTTTTAAAAACAATTTATCATAATAAAAGATACATTGTCATTAATCCTCTTCAAAAATTTTCCCCTCAATTCAGATATACTTATCCCATTGTTACTTTCCAAAACAAGGGGGAATAAGCAGCACAATGCATTTTTTACTGTAATAATTTAAAAAATTTTTATTTTAAACATTTTGATCATACTGCTTACATTCTACCCACATTTAAATCTAGTTTAAGCAAAATTCTTTTATAAAAATGTTTAAAATGAAAGTTTAAAAAGAAAAAAAAAACTCCTGGAGTTAAAGATAGAGAAATCAAATCTATTATCCCATGATATTATCCCATGATATTATCGCAAGTCATCTTTCACATTTGTAAGCCAACTTTAGATCTCACCTGTTAGATGTAAAATTGTAATAGCCACTTTCTTCAAGGACTTCTTCAATCACAGTCTAAAATTGTAAAACCAATCAGCTCAGTACTGAATTAAAGCAAAAAAATAAAATCATTTAGAAATACTGCAAAAGTCTCACCTGCATCTGTTCATATGTTATTCCCTCCTCCAAATCAAAGCTGGGGGGTAGACCTGAAAGAGATGAATTATGAAAAGTTTGACTTTTGCTTTCCATTTGTTTAGTTATACTTTATCAGCAATTATGACTTCAACTGTAGCAAAAAGAGGTCAATTTCCTAATGATAAAGATGAGACTTAACTTCCAAAGTGTCTTGTATTTGAATACTCAAATTCTTTGTTTCTCTTTAATAATTGGTCACTTTGGGTATGGCCATAAAAGCAACATGAAGATTTAGGAGCGCTGCTGCCAGTATAAATTGACTTTAAAATAGAGCTGTGTGTGTGTGTGCATGCGTGCATGTGTGTGTGTAAGGGCAAGTGAGGAGTGTTTCCAAACACAAAGGACCTAACGGATGAGTTTTTTGATTAAGAAACTCTCATTAGCTCGCAAGGCAAAAAGAGTGAAAATGTCCTAGAAAGAGAATAGTTTCTCATAGGAAGGCAGAAAAAGAGCAAAAGATAACAAAGATCTGACCCTTGCATGTAACTGCTTAGAAAAAAATACATTTAACATCAGAAGACTTATTTTTGATTGTTGGTCTGAATATGATATAGCTGCACCTTACCCATCTCAAAGCAATGTGGACTAGTTTCTACTTGAATCAATCAACACTGACTTGATGTAGAGGCCCAGGAGTTCCTCTACCCCTCTGGAGAGAATAAAGAAAATGAGTTGCAGATTTAAAGCTGAGTTTAAAGGTATTTCCCCCACAGAGCTGGCAGGCTCTGTTGTCTTTGCTTTTGCCATGCCTGCAGTGAAAAGCGCCAACTCTGCTCAGTTCTGGGATGGAAAATCCAGCTGTCCTGGGAGGCATCTATCAGTTCACTCTCAAACTTTTGAGGCTCCTATCAGAGTTCTTCATCCCACTTGCTACCATAAGGAGAAGTCTGGCCCATGGATGAACTCACCTGTCCTGGGGAAGGCTTTGAATTAAGGTGTGCTACGTTCATTTACCAACTCCCCATGAGGAATGTATGTATGTACTGCAAACATGTACAAGAAAAATAATTTTTAATGAAAGGAGCAAGTGACTTCAGATAATATTTTATCTTGATCTTATGAATTTTCCAAGGTCTGTTTTAAATAAAATTCTGTCATGGGGATTAGCTTTATCTTAGGAGTACAAGACTCGGGGACAGTTTGATAATCAAAATGAAATAATTTGTTTAGGCAACATTTACAAAAATGCAAATTTTTCTAAGCTGAAAAGATGTCATCTTCATTTAACTTTAAAAGTTTCATCTCTGTCCATTCCACTGAGTGAAATCACTGTAGTTTATGAGGATTCAACAACTATTTAAGAATTCTGAAACCTCGGGGCAGCTAGAACACTTCTTGGAGTTCACATATAACAAGAACAGTGCAATTATGTTGCGCCTGTACCAGCAGCCAGGCATTTCTTATGTTCACTTGCTACTCCCTATAACTCTATGGTGTTGGTGTTATTACTTTTAATTTTATTCATTATTCATTATTTTACTACCATATTTCTCCCTGTTTTACAAGAAAGGACAGTGAAGTTCAGAGAGGTTAAATAATTTGTCTAAGGTCGGCCACTAAATGGCTGAACTGAGATTTGAACCTAGGCGTGTAGACTTCCAGAATCGGTGCCTTTAGTTCCTAGGCTATAATGCCTTGCTATGTGAAATTTATGATAAAAATTTATAAAGTTATATATGTCTGCTGTGAATTCCTCAGGTAAATTACATGTTTTCTCTATTTTGAATATTTAAACTTTCCATTTCTTATCTCCCCAGATGCTTTTGGGGATTTGATTTTCCATTATCAGACAAGCAAGAAGAAATAAAAGGAAATACAATTCACCAGCATAGATTCTGCTACTTGTTTACAGTATTAATAAATGACCAAAGAACCTGACACATGTGTAAGATAAATCTCAGGGAATTTCTACATCCTTTCTATATATCCCTTTTGTCTATTGCCACAGATAACAAAAACAAGCTCTATATTTCTTGTCAGTAGGAGATGATATGTTAGGAATAGTTGTTGATTCAAGCTGTATTTTTTTGTGAAAGCTAAATTACCCATATGTGTGACTATTACCTGTTGGATCATTTGGGGACAAGCTGTTTTCACCTGATGAATGATGTAATAAATGGTAATCTGCTGTAAAAAAGTTCGGTTCAATTGGTTCTGGAGATCCCTGAGATAACTGAAATAAAAGAAAAGCAAAATCACATCTTATTTTGTATTCCAAAGTAAATGACAGGAGATTTCTGAATGGAGCTTTCCATTTTCCTATGTCTCTTCATAGAATATTTAGTGTTCCAGGGTTTTCAATCTTATAAACAGATAAACATCTTCTTCCTTCTGAAAGAACTTATAAACTAGAAACAGGCAAATTACAATGAAAGTAAGTTAGACAATTCCCTGGCCACATAAAAAAATATAGTTTGTAGATTTGTGAGAGCAAAATAAAAATGAATAGAAAAATAATGGCATGAGCCTGGGGCATCAAGATATTAGTTTTAATCAGAAGAAGAAGGGATAAAGTCCATTATTCAACAAAATAATATGTTTAGTCCAAATCACAACCCTCTTGCAAGTGCTTTCTCTGAACAATGGCTTCTTGTTTGACCAAAATTAATTAGTTTTTAAATATATTTTTCTAAATTACTATTAATTACTTTTAGTCTCCAAACATAGTTCTTAATATGCTAAAGAAAAGAGTAATTCAACCAACGACAGAATTTATTAAAGTTCAAATTGCTTAATGCTTCTCTACAAAGCTAAATTTTTAAAATGAAATTTTAGGCTATAAATGTTTTTCAACTCCTTTCACTTTTAATTCCAACCAACATTTGGGCTGGACAAATTTTAATGGTTGAGTTAATATAACATACTTCTAAAATGTCAAATATTAATAAAGCACAAACAAGTGACATAATTTGGACTATATAATAGTAGTTACTTTGGATTCACATACCTTGTTTATGAGTTAAAATGTTCAATCACTTGAGAAAATTGGCACTGTATACCACAATGAAACAACATATGCCTACCCTTGACCCAGCAATCTCACTCCTAATGATTGGTATGGAAGAAATGAGTACATATATCCATCAAGTGATATGTGTAAGAATGTTCATAATGCCTTATTCATAACTAAAAATTGGGAAATCTCAAATGTCAATGGACAGAACAGATACATTGTGAGGGGATCATAAATGGAATTCTCCAACAAAAAAGGAAGAAATTATTAATATTTACAATACAAATGTACATCAAACAAACCAAAAAAAGCCAGGAACAAAAGAACATAGTATGCAATTTCTTTCTTTTTTACAAACTGAGGGTTGAACCCAGGGCCTTTGCACTGAGCTACATCCTTAGGCCCTGTACATTTTCACAACCAGCCACAAGTAACTAATGGTAATAGAACTTGAGGCAGAGAATGTTGCTTGACCAGGAGAGAGCCTTCTGTGAGGCTAGAAATATTGATGTCAATGGTGATTATTGGGGTAAATATATGCGTAAATATTTATGTGTAGGTACCTCACTATATGGATTATACATTTTATACCTCAATAAAAAATTTGTATTAACAAGTGATAGCTAACTATTCCATCGTTGGATTTTAGATGCAGTAAAAGTAGATCTTTTTGTTTTCTAATCTCCATTTTACCAAATACCTAATACATTAGAAAAAATGGCTCCATCTTGTTTTATTCTTGAAATTTTATTTTCCTTGCCTCGGTGACAATGATAAAATTAATAATTCACCTGTAATATGACAGGATTGTAAGACTGTAAGATATTGTAATGAAATCCACATGCTTACTTCTTATCAGTATCATGAGGTAACCCTAAGCATCCTGCATGTCTCATGTCCCAGCTAGTAGATCACATTGACTGTAAGCTTTTTAATGTATCTTATGATGCTGAAAATAATTTCCTGGTCTTAGCTTTCAAGTGACTTCAGATGGTAATATTTTCCATATGGTTAAGCATAGGAGTAATCTGGCTGGCTGAAATGCTCATTCTAATTATAGAAAGCTTATTCAACTTAATTGTTAGGTATACTTTGGAATCCTAAAAATTTCATAGCCTGGAAAATGTTTAAACCTCAAAGTAAAGTGTGTGAATTGTACCTTGGAAAGGTCAAGACTGTCATCTTAAGATGACAAGGACAAGTTCTTTTCCTTGATTTTAAACCTTGAAGAGAGAGGTTTTTGAGGTTTCCATTTTATGTCACATTAGCAATCTCCTTCAGCTTAAGAACGTCAGATCCTCAGATGGGCTAGGGATGAAGGAAAGGACTAAAATTCACTAGCCTTCCATTTAAACACAGAAATATTTATTTATATTCTATGAACTTCTCAGAATATCTTTTTGCAGCTTAGTATCTAAATATAAATATTCTTTCAGTGAACATTTTTTTGCACCTTACTATGTGCTGGACAGTATGTTTTACAGTCTGAGGAGGATACAGAAATGATTTTTGTTTTTTCCATACTGGGGTTTGAACCCAAGGCATTCACAATGATCTATATCCCTCCCTCCTTCTCCTCCTATTTTTTAAAACTTTTATTTATTTTGAAACAAGGTTTCTTTCTGTGGCTAAATTATCTGACTGGGTTTGATCTTGCAATTCTCCTGTTTCAGCTTCCCAGAGGGCTGTGATTACAGGCATGCACCACACATTTCTTAGAGACTTGCGATCTGACCAGGAGAATAGGTTAGTGTATATAAAACAACAGGCATGATGCAATAAATCATAAAATGTGAAATGAGGTGATGAGTTCTAAGCTTCTAAAAACCAGACCTTCATGAAGACTAGCATGGCTTTCTCAGGCTCTGCGGAAGAAACAGAGGGGCCATACCTTGAAGGATGGATTTAGGTGGATGAAAGAAAACTAAGTGGACATTACAGGTGAGGGAAATTGCCTAAATTTGGTTAAAATTGGTTAAATTTCAGGCATTGGATTTTAATTACAAAATGATTAAAGAAATATGACATGAATCCATGTTATGGTGTTATGGTGAATGGTCTAGAATAAAGACAAGGCAAGTTTCACTCATTAATTCAGTAAATTTTTAAAATCAACTGTTATATGCCAAGTGCAGATCCATACAAAGAGAAAACCCAATGATCATCCAAAGTTGTAGTGTCAGAACTTGCTCCTGACTTAGGGAGAAGCATGTCTCTAAAATGTCCACTCACATACATGTAAAATGGCAACTGTGTCGAATGTTTAAAGGGTGGGTCTGTAGTTCCAGATAGATTTGACTAAGCCAGGGAAGGCTTTGGCAGGAAATTGACACTTCTGCCAAGAACTGAAGTAACGAGTAAGAGTAAGTGAAAGGTAGTCTGGGAAGAACATTATAACAGATGGAAGAAAGGGCCTGATGGCTGGTGCTGAGATAGCAAAAAGCAAGAGTGGTGTGACATGAGGCTAGGCAGGGCTTGCACCACATAGGGATACAGATATTATGGATAGGATTTTCACATTTTATGCTATGATCTCCTTGAAGGCCTTTTTCATGTTTGTGTGTGTGTGTGTGCCTCTACATGTGTACATGCATTAGTGACAGAGAGAGAGAGAGAGAGAGGGAGAGGGAGAGAGAGGGAGAGGGAGAGAAACAGACAGACAGAGACAGAGAAAGAGAAGAGACAGAGAGACAGACTGTTTTGGAAGAACTCCCCTCAATGTAATGCAATGAACATAACAGTTTGAGTGGAGTTTCAGGGTGAACGCAGACAATGAAGAGGCAAAGAACCTCTAAATAAATAATCCAGCCTAGGAAGCTGGATCCCAGACTTTAGGTGATGTTGTTGGAAGCTATTAATGCTTTTGAGTATACTGATAACAAAGTTTAAGAAGTACTAATCTAGCAAGATGGATTAGAACACAAGGAGATCAGCAAAGAAGCTGTAACACTAATGCAAGAGAGAAGGAGCCAGAGCTTGGGCTAGGTGTTAATAACCAATATGCAAGATCCAATATTCTTACTTAATAATAACAGCAACACTTATTACCATTCACTGAAGACTTACAACATTCCAGACATATTTTAGTATATGATATTCTATTTGGTTTGTACAACTGCTTTCTAAGGTAAACATTATCCCCATTTTATACATGAGGAAATTTCTAAGTAAAATCATTTGCCCAAGGAGCAGAGCTATTAAGTGGCAGGACTCACAGCTGTCTACCATCAAAAGTCAAGCAAAACCATCTAGCCTACAAAGACTCCCCATCTGTTAATGACTTGGAGGATACAAAACATAAAGTGAAGCAGTTTGAAAGTGACTGTAAGGCTTAAAGATGGAGCAGGAGAAAAAACGGATGTTTCCAATCATATTGATGTGGACACAGGAAGAAAGATGAGGTTGCAAGTCTAATTCTGGATGTGCCAGAGTGCAAAGTAAATGTTTCCAGTAATGGGAAATAAGGAAGACAAGACAGGATGTCTTTAAAGCAGTGGCCTCTTATGGCTGTCTGAGGCTGGAGGGTGGGGGGTTCAGGAGCCCCACACCAGTATGGCAGGAGCCATACTGCTGTGCTTCATGAGCGGTCAGCTTGCCGGGGGGGGGGGCCCCCCGTAGGTAGCATGCGTGCTCTGTTGGGAAGAATGTGAAAGACCCTTCTGAGCTGTTATAAAAGAGCTCAGCTGTTCTGACTCCTACAGTTCTGAAGAACAAATGATTGTACACACTTTGGAACTAAACAAAAATACACAAAACTAACTGTATCACTTTCCATCTCACCCCAAAACATCACTGATATTGAGCAGGTTCTGAGTAGTTTTAGCATTTTCTTGGTCAATTGAGAATATAGTACTTCTTAGGCAGAATCTAAACAGAAGAAAATGATGGGAAGCAACAAATGTAATCTTTACTAAGTTTCCCAAATGATGTCTTCTTTTCTATATCATAAAATAGGGTTATCTCCTGCAAAACAATTACACAAATTATTTGAGATCCAATCAACTGAAGTAGAACTCTGAAGGAAATTGAGTCAAATGCAAATTAAATTAGATGCCAGTAGTAAGAAAATCTGCAGTATGTTCCACCACTCTGCACTTGCCAGTTCTAATTTCATTTTCTTTAGATTTTCCTTGTCCTCCTTGACTGACCTGCACCATTATAAGCATAAGATATTGTATAATTTTTCATCTTTTCTAACTTACAGTTCCTTTCTTTTAGTT